CTCTCTCTCTCTCTCTCTCTCTCTCTCTCTCTCTCTCTCTCTCTCTCTCGTTGAGACAGGGTTTTGCCCGGTTACTAATAGTCTCACTAGGATGACGAGGCTTGCCTTGAACTTGTGATCCTCCTGCTTTAGCCTCCCAAGTTGCTAGGATTAAGTGAGTGTACCATTATGCCTGGCTTAGGACAGTTTTGACAAGGACTTAATAAGTCTTTGCTGTGGTTGTCATATTTTCTCGGAAGAGGAAAGACCCCTGTTTATGTGAGTTAGGGTATGGCCAAAATGACCCTATGGAGACACAGGGAAGAGGTCCAGGGTCTCTAGAACCCATTCCTTTTTTGCCCCTGCTGCCTGAGGCTGATAAACCTCTTATCTTGCCCAGGCAGGGGAGCCCAGGGTCAGGATAGGAGGAGAGGGCAGGGCTGCTATCAGCCACCAGGCCTGGGCCCTATCAGAGAAGGGGAGGGGCTGTCTGCACTTCCCAAACACTCCTAGGGGATCCCCCACTTACTCTCAGGAAGAAAAGACTGAGACCAAAAACTGAAGACTCAGGAGGAAAGCTGGGGTGACTCCTGATATTTCTTCCCAAGATGGAAAACCAAACCAAGTTTAAGAAGTTCAGAAGATCTGACCCTGTCTCTGGCCAGGAATATAATTTTGGAGAGTGAGAAGTAGGACAAGGAGAAAGCACCTTGTTTGAAAAAAAGGTAAAAGTTTACTGCGCTTCTCCTAAGGGAACTGCCATGGCCATGGTAGCTGCGATGGAGACCACATCATACAAAAGGACCTTCCAGTTTAAAAGTCCAACATGAGTGCGCCGGCAAGGTCTCCCTCCCCTTAGGTGAAGCTGGAGGAAGCCCAGAGGCAGGACAAACTTGCCAGGCCTGGCAGAAGCTGCTCTAATGCCTTTCTTCCTTCCATACAGGTTGTGGAGGCCCTTCGGGCTTTGGGGGAACCTGGCCCAGATCCTGGCCCAGTAGGATGCCCCCGTGTCCTCCCCAGCAGAGCAGGAACAGGGTGACACAGCTGCCCACTGTGGAGCTGGGCGAAATGGAACTGACATGGCAAGAGATCATGTCCATTGCTGAGCTGCAGGTGCGCAGGAGGAAAGGACTGGCGCAGGGGTGGGAGGAGCAGATCTCAGGCTGCCAGTGTTGCCAACAGAGGAAAAGAAATGCTGGGGAGTGTGCATGGAAACATCTGGGGACAATGGGGAGATGGGAGCGTGGATGGCTGGGGAAGGAGTGGTGGGTAGGGAAGGGTCTGATTAGGGTAGAGGCCCCTCTCAGAAACTGCCTGCTCGCCTCTCTCTACCCTACCTCCTTTTCTGCCCTCCCTTTCTCACCTTCTCTTTTGACCTCCCTCTCCTCCAATCCTGCTCATCTTCTTCCCTTATTTCCTCCCCCTGCCCTTAGCAACGGGCCCCTTTCCCCCAGGTAGAAGAGCAGTAGTTCAGGGGCCTTAGGAAGGGGAGTCAGACTATGCCGGGGTCCTCTCCTCCTACAAGTTGGACAAAGGGGTGTCTGTTGGCCTAACAATGATGCCTTTGTCCCCAGCTGGGTTGGAGCAAGGTGGCTCCCCTACGTGGGTTGGGGGCCTTGTTTCCAGCATGTTCTCTCCTCGCTGCACCTGGGCAGGGACAGAAGGACTGAAGAGTTAGAGGGTAGAGCTTGTGCAGGTTCCCCAAGGTGCTTCTTAGCCTCCAGGCCTGGCTCTGTGCCTGTCTCCAGTCACTGGCCCTGGCACCTTCAGGATCTGCCCTAGGCCCTCCTTCCACACAACAGCTCCCTCTGCTGGCACCCAGGGCATGGCCAGGGACTGAACTTGACCCTTTGTCCCTAGATTACCACAGCAGGAAGGGGTTCTGAGGGGTCATCTTGGCTAACAATACCTTGCCTTCCTGAAGGAAATAATGGAGCAGGAGCCATTTTAATACAGTAAGAGCTTCTCTTGAGGAGGAGGTTCTGTAATTGTTCTAATATTAGGTGGTCTTCTCTGAAGTCCGACCCCAGTGACCTCTATTCTTGCTTATGCTGCTTTCTTCTTGGAATGGTTGCATCTCCACTTTGCAAGAAGCTTCCAATTTTGTGCACATCTTTCCTCATTGGGTCTTTGGAAGGACTGTGATAGAGCTGGTTTCTTCTTTTTCTTCTTCTTTTTTTTTTGGTGCTGGGGATTGAACTCAGGGTTTTGTGCATGTGAGGCAAGCACTCTACCAACTGAGCTATATCCCCAGATTTCTTTTTTAAAATATTTTTTAGTTGTCAATGGACCTTTTTAAAAATTTTTTTTCAGTTGTAGATGGACACAATACCTTTGTTAATATTTTTATTTGGTGCCGGGATCAAAACCAGTACCTCACACATGCTAGTAGGCAAGTGCTCTACCACTGAGCCACAACCCCAGCCCCAGGGCTGGCTTCACTTTGGCAGCCTGTCTCAAAACTCTTTTCTCTTTCCTTGCAGGGTCTAAATGCTCCAAGTGAGCCATCCTTTGAGCTCCAAGCCCAGGCCCCATACCCTGGACCTCCACCACCCCCAACCTACTGTCCCTGTTCAATCCACCCAGATCCAGGTTTTCCACTTCCTCCACCACCTTATGAGCTCCCAGCATCTGTGACTCATGTTCCAGAAGAGCCCCCATACTCCTATGGCAACATGGCCATTCCAGTCTCTAAGCCACTGACCCTTTCAGGCTTGCTCAGTGAGCCCCTCCCAGACCCCTTAACCCTTCTGGACATTGGGCTGCCAGCGGGGCCACCCAAGCCCCAAGAGGACCCAGAATCAGACTCAGGATTATCCCTCAACTACAGTGATGCTGAATCTCTAGAGCTGGAGGGGACAGAGGCTGGCCGGCGGCGGAATGAGTGTGTAGAGATGTATCCAGTGGAGTACCCTTACTCACTTATGTCCAACTCTCTGGCCCACCCCAACTATGCCTTGCCCCCTGCTGAGACCCACTTGGCCTTAGAGCCCTCTTCAGGCCCGGTGCGCACTAAACCTACTGCACGGGGCGAGGCAGGAAGTCGGGATGAGCGTCGGGCTCTGGCCATGAAGATTCCCTTCCCTACAGATAAGATTGTCAACTTGCCGGTAGATGACTTTAATGAGCTGTTGGCACGGTATCCGCTGACTGAAAGCCAGCTGGCACTAGTTCGGGACATCCGACGTCGGGGCAAGAACAAGGTGGCTGCCCAGAACTGTCGTAAGAGAAAGCTGGAAACTATTGTGCAGTTGGAACGAGAGCTGGAACGGCTGGGCAATGAAAGGGAGAGGCTTCTCAGGGCCCGGGGAGAGGCAGACCGTACCCTGGAGGTCATGCGCCAACAGCTGGCAGAGCTGTACCGTGACATTTTCCAGCACCTTCGGGATGAATCTGGCAACAGCTACTCCCCTGATGAGTATGCTCTGCAACAGGCTGCAGATGGGACCATCTTCCTGGTGCCCCGGGGAACCAAGATGGAGGCCACAGATTGAACTGGCTCAGAGAAGGGGACTGATAAAGGGAACCTTGAGATCCAGAAGACACTGAGTTCATTAGAACTAAAGAAGGGGGAACCCTGGCATTTGGAAGCTACAAGTTGTGTTTGAAGAGGTTTGCCTTGCCTGGGGATGCAGCTGTGGAAGATGATTTGTTTGCTTGCATAGCATGCTTAGCAAGTACAAAACCCTGGGTTTAATCTTCTGCACTGCAAACAAACAAACAAACAAACAAAAAAAAAACGGGGGGTGGGGGAGTTTGAGGGTGGGGAAGGAGCTTGGCTTCTCAGGCCTCCAACCTCCACCTCTAGTATAGACTTTGGTCTATAAAAAGTTCTGCAGAAATAGCTTTCCACCGTTTTCTTTCTTGAGAGACCTGGGCACTCCCTACCACACTGCTTGTTGGGGTGGGGAGGGAAGCCTAGGTATTTATCCACCTTCATCCCCCTTTAAGAGACAGGGATAATGGATGATCTGAGGAACCCCTCTCTCTGAAGACCCATTAATAAAGTTGGGAGAGGTGCCAAAACTGGATGGGCCCTCCATGCAAGGTTCCTGATGTTTAGATACTGGGGATTTAATCCAGGGGTGCTTTACACCCCCAACCCTAGTCCTTTTTATTTTTGAGAGGCTCTCACTAAATTGCTGAGGCTAGCCTTGAATTTGCAATCCTCCAAACTGCTGGGATTACAGGTGTGTGCCACCAAGACCTGTTTCATTAGATCTCTCTTCTCTCTACCTGTGGAGCACAAAAAAGCCCACAGGCTTTTTTTTCTTCCGCTTCTCAGCTTTGGTCATGATGTACCAGAGCTCTCAGAAAACTGAGTGAACTATTGTTCTTGATTGGAATGAATTCAATTACACACCAAAGTTTCAGAGCATTTCATACCCAAGCACTGGTAAAACCTAGTCTAAAGTGAAGTAACATGTGCACCCTCATAAAATCTTTGGACATGTTAGATAATTACTACCCAATTCTTGTTTTGGGGCCTGGGCCCTCTTCAAGACCTTGAAAATCTTTTATTTGGGCTGGGGATGTGGCTCAAGCGGTAGCGTGCTTGCCTGGCATGTGTGCAGCCTGGGTTCGATCCTCAGCACCACATACAATAAAGATGTTGTGTCCGCCGAAAACTAAAAAAAAAAAAATATTAAAATTCTCTTTTAAAAAAAGAAAATCTTTATTAGCCTTGTCTCACAAAACTCCAGGATATAATAAACTAAGTTTTAGATTTTTTAGTCACATCAAAGTTTAATCAAACTCCTTAACTTGGGGTTTGGTGCCTCTCAATCTCCTCCAACACTGAATCATATCACTTCTCTTCTGTAGTGTTTTACCTCCATCCTACCATACCATTTTACAAATTCCATCTCAACAGGGAAAACACACTTCCAGTAGAACCCCAATGCTTACAGATTCCAAAACACACGGTCTCTAGCCTGGGTTTAAGGAATAAAAGCCTAAAGTTTCTTTGTACCCCACCACTGCTAAGGGTGGCTTTGAACTTGTGATCCTCCTGTCTCAGCCTGCCCAGCTGTTGGGATTACAGGCATGCACCACAACTGACCCACATTTTTTGTCAGGGGAAGGGTACCAGGATTTGAACTCAGGGCCACTTGACCACTGAGCTACAGACTCAGCCCTATTTGTATTTTACTTAGAGACAGGGTCTCACCGAGTCACTTAGTGCCTCACTTTTGCTGAGGCTGGCTTTGAACTTTTAATTCTCTTGCCTCAGCATCCTGAGCTGGTGGATTACTTTTGTGCCAAATAGGTTCCATGCCTCCTATTTCTAACAGGTTTGAAGATATTCCCACATTTCAAGTTGTAAAGAGCAGGGCCTTAGACTAGCTGCTTAGAAAAAGCCTTGTTCCCATGATCACATTCTAATAGGGGAAGGCAATAGTGTACTTTGATACATGCTAATCTAAGGCAAAAGTTGGAAGTTATCTGGATTATATGATCAAGTGGTTATAGAAACTTGAAAAAGACATCAAATCTATTTCCTCATGTTACAAGTATGGAATTTGCCAGGTGTGGTGGTACACACACCTGTAGTCCCCAGCAGTTCTAAGAGATTAAGGCAGTTAGAATATTGAATTTAAAGACAGCCTCAGCAACTTAGTGAGGCCCTAAGCAACTCAGCAAGGCCCTGTTTCTTAAAATATAAAAGGGTTAGGGATGTGGCTCAGTGGCTAAGGCTTCCAAGTTCAATCCCCAGTACCAAAAATGGGGAATTTACTTTCATAATCTTATCCAAGTAGAATATGATAAAACTCACTTTTCAATTTCAATAGGAATTATTTTAGTGAACTATAGGATCCTAGTATTCTTTCCCTCCATATAACTGTCCAAAAGATGACTTTTAGCAAATACAAGTCATAAACAGATCCCTGACACCACTCTTAAAACATGTAAGGGTGGAAGACTCTTACCATGAAGTATTTCAGAATATAGCCATGAACAGAGGCAAAATTTCTCCCTAATTCTTTGTTAAAAATTTATGGCAGAAATGGCACTGTGTAAAATTGAAATGGTCTTACCAAGTTGCTCAGGCTGGCCTCCAACTTGTGATACTTTTGTCTTAGCCTCTGGAATTGTTAGAATTAAGCATGAGCCACCATGCCAAGCTTATTCATCACCTTTGACTTTTGAGATGGGTCTTTTGTTGCATAGGCTAGCCTCAAGATCATGTTCCTGCTTCAATCTCCCAAATAGCTACAATTGCAGACATCTGTCATGCCTGGCTGGCTTAGTACCTTTAAAAAAGTCTTTCATATTCATTTCATTTCTTACCCTTGGAATGAGAATTTTAAATCTGAGGTATCTTGTCAACAAGTACAACTTGTTAATCAAAGATGAGTTCTATCATGCTCCTTCCTCTCCATGATAGGCACAGAACTCCCAAAAGAGATTCATTAAACCCAGTGGCAGCTTATATAACTTGACCTTTCCTTGCCAGGGGAGCTAGAAACACATGCTCCAGTAGAGTGAAGAAGTAAACAACGTATTTCTATTGGGTCATATTATCCCCACTGTGCTTTTTTGGCTTTTACTAAACCATGACTCAGGGAGTATGAACCATAATGTATCCCAAACATATAAGCTTAAGGGTACAGAACAGCGGCAAAATATCTGTATAGCATGCTGAAGGCCTAGGGTTCAATTCCCAGCACAAAACAAAGAACCAGAGTATTAGAACCACTTCGGGAAATCAAGATTTTTTAAGCATCCATGTTGTTTTTCTGGCTTACCACCAGACAACTAGTGTAAATCACTAAAACCCCTATATCCTATTCGCCAATTTGAAACGGTTTCAAAGATTGTAGCATCAGGTCATTTACTATTAACACAGAGGAACAAGAAACAAAGCTTAAAAAAAAACAGACAACCAACAACAACCCAGTTTATTAGAAAAGTCACTCACAAAATTGAATGATTACAGAGCTGCAGAGCAGCTAAAAACCAACTGCATGGCAGTGAGAATGAAGTACATTGACTCAGATAAAGGTTGTCCTCACAAGGATGTTCCTGCAGAAAGAAAAAAGATTATCAGTATTTACATAAGCAGAGTAGAGAGATTCTATGACTGTATCCACTCATTATGATAACACTTAGTTCTAATAATTCTGCTGACTACAAACAATCCAACATTATGAAAATATTTTTGTTTTGATCTGAGGTGCAACATCTCATTCTTAATCTGTAAATGGTAAGTGCTGATTGTTAAAACTTACCTTTAGCAATGAACTTGGACAGAAGTTTCTGGCCTTTTTTTTTTTTTTAAATTGAGCTGATAAGCCTGTAGTAGCAGATTCCTCCTAGAAAAGTAAACAACTTTTTAGAACAAACTCTTTTCTGAGACCATGTCCCATCTTCAAGTTATACCTCCCACCTCCCATTAAATAGCCCACCCAACCTCCCACCATTTTGGGGAAAGGATTCTAGTCATTACTTTGAGCCACTGTTTTAAGGAAATGGGTGAAAGGAAGGTAATAAATGAATAATTTATAGGGCAAAAATATACCTTCACAATAGAAATAATTTAATGTGCTCACTTCCTTCAATTGGGAGCCAACAAAGAGCAGGGTGTTAAGAATTCATCTCCAGAAAAACCAATTGCAGCTTAACTGGACTAGTTTTGGCTCAATTTATCAAGGAGAATGCAACAAAAAACTGGATTTTAGGTAACTAATGGATGTAAGTAAAATCTGTTCTTACCTACCAGCATAGCAATAAAACCTTTCCTCCTGGTTCTGACTGCTAGTCCTAAGAGTCAGGTGTGCCTTACTCTTGTCTGCCTCCTTCCTTGCGATGATCACTGAAACTTCACTCCCTCCTAGCTTTCATGGAGCGTGCCGTGGCCTGCCCCTGGCTTATCTGTACTCCACATACCACAAGTGTCTACTCTCAGCTGCAGAGTGTCTGAGCTCGGAGCCATTCGCGCTATACTTGCTAGCAGTTCCTAGTAGCTGAACATCTCCTGGAACTTTAAAGGCTTTGTCACGAATCCTGAGGTATCTGCAAACTCCCTTAATAGTTAAGGTTCCACCTGCTATTGCAAACTCAGCCAGTATCATGTAACTATCATCCATGCTACCCCACCCAACCACCCCCCCTCCTCCCCAAAACTTCCAAGTGATACACCCATGAGATGGAATATACAGTCCTATCGTATAAACAAATATCTATGCTACTAGGTACAATGGCACTGAAATTGAGAGGGTACCAAAGGGAAGGCTCAAAAGTATCTATGCACAAATAACAATTATTGGATCTATTTGGAATTTCTACACAATTATCACTGTAGGATGATCATGTTATCTTTGTGTTGAATTTAAAGGAAAACTGCAGTTAACACAAAATTACATAGAAAACATGGCTCCATATATTTCTAGTTTTGCCCTTCAGATAACTAGTTGAAATTATATATAAACCTTTTTAGACCCACCCAAGACCATGACCCAACAAAACTGCAGTTTTCCTTTAATATAAAAGCCTATTTTCATGTAAATTAAATTGTTTAAATGTCTCCCAAACACTTCTAATCTGTGGACTTGAGGGGTGGCACTAGCCAGCAACTGGTTTCTATTCTCTGGCAGAGCTTTGAACTTGCATTGTGATAGAAGCATTCAACATTTATCGGGGTAGTGGGTAGGAAAAGTACAAATCTCTGCCAGTCCCAAATCCATACAGTTTTCATTCCATTCAAGAGAATTAAATCGTTTATTGATTACACATGATAATGGATGATACACAAGCTTCATTCCCATCTATTATTTATCTGGTACCATTATTCAATTTAGATATTGCATAGGATATGCCAACAATCATTTTTATAACCAAATAATTCCATGACTGCTTGGGTGACCCTTTCAATGGTGAACTTCAGAAGGTCACAACTACACCAAGTTTTCTGAACCTGGCATCATCCTGAATGAATTCTAACTTCACACTGTTGGGGAAGTTTTACCAAGATGGCTTCAGAGTAGACTAACTTTACACAGCACATTTAAAAAAAGACACATTTATTCAGCGTCATGATCAGACTATTACATTTAGCAATCAACAGCATGGG